AAGGAATTCAGTAATATTTATGTTAAATTCTACTTAACACTTTGCGTACCGGTTAATTCTTAGAAAACTGGCCGATTTTTCAATGAGATCAACTTATAAGTTCGTGGTGTATCACTATGTGAAAAATATTCAATAAGTATTAAACAAGTAATCAGTTCTAATAAAGTTTAATATTTCTTTAAATGATGTGGAAGTCGCTAAATTACAACGATAGGTTTAAATAAAAACGAAATCTTAAAATCTTCACCACTACTCACACATTGTTATAAGTCAAGGGATTAATATGAACCCGAACGAGTTAAATAATATTTATATTTGTCAAATTCTACTTAAAATCTTCACCATGATTCACACATCATTGCAAGGCAAGGGATTAACATGAATCCAAACAAATTAAATAATACATAAGCTTGTCAAATTCTATTTGAAACCTTCACCAGTCCATTGTACCGCAAGGGGTTGAACACAAAAACCGACTAGCAACCAGTTCAACCGAACACAAACGAGCAACAACGTTCTGAATCACATACCGAAAGTCCCGTACGTGTACCGCATCGTGGATCCCCAGTCCCAGCGATGGATCACAGAAAAAATCCTCATTTCTCAGGCACTAACGCGGCGAACGGGGTTTCTACGAGCAACTATCGAGGCAGACGGCGCCATTTCCGCGCGTCCCGAACCGGCAAGACGCTCCGCGGACCGGGAGGAAAGGGTCGAAGCGAAATCGTGAGTCCGCGGATCGAGAAACGTCAAGATTGAACGTGTCGTTGCTGTCGTCGCGTACACGAAACGCGATTCGAGGCAACGTAAAACGAAAGAGTCGCGATAAGTAACGCGATCAACGAGGAGAAGGAGGTCTGTCTCCTCTCTTCTTCTCTCTTTCCCTCTTTCCCTGTTCATCGAGCGATTTACGCACGGAAGGAGGAAAGAGGAAGAGGGAAGGGGAGAGAGTGAGACGGATCGATGCGTAATTGAATCCGCTCGACCACCGAGGGGCAACCTGAGAATAGGACACGCGAGGATCGTCGCGGATCGAATTTTCTGCGGCGATTCTTGAACTGTTTTTCTCTCGACATGGCTCTAGATTCGTGTGTCCGCGTTTTCCCATGATCGACATTTGCGAAACGCGTCTTTATTTAGAATAGGACAGGTGATTTCTGTTGATTCTCGGTTGAATGCGAGGGGTGCAAAAGAAAAGTGAGGGTTGAACATTTTTAACAAATTAAATTGACTAACACGAGCTAAACTGACTTTTTGAAATTTCCGTCAATGCGAGAGTGCATCTATTGAGAATCCGATTGATTCACAATTCAGTTTGAGTAGTGTTAAATTTTTTTTAATAGTTTCTCAGGGAAACATCTGTTGTCTTTGTAATAATTGCGAAAAGGAGAAATCAGGAATGGGTCATTTTGAACTGTTTAGTAGTTTTAGTGTTAAAGAAATATAGGGAAAGTGAGAGAAACGAGTGTTGAGATTCGTAAAGTGGGAAGTGATTTGTTTTTTAATGGTTTATAGGTTAATTGGTGAAGTTGAATGATCTTTAAGAGACTGTACCATAAACAGTTCAGTAGAATTGAATGTAGGTTTTGGTTGATTGAATTATTGTCCAATTATGATTTTTTCCAGTGTTATATTATGGGAAACTGGCTATCCATTGTTTTCCGGTTTTGTGAAAATCCTTTTTTTATGTAGAATTTGTGAGATGGTAGAGAAATTTTCTGTTTGATTTTAGATTCTCGTCTATATGCATAATTTGCGACGAAATGTGATTAATCGATACTAATGCGGATCGTTTAAACGCGTTTGTGACCGGAGATCCTTAGATGACTCCAAGATCCACATTTGATAGGCTTAACTGATCTGTTTATCGTGAAAGTTCTTGAATTTCAATCAGCGCGCGCTACGTGTTAAGCGAAGTTTGAAAGTTTAATCATGGTTAAATATCTTCTTAATGGGAATTCGATTCACTCCAGCTATTCAAGTAAGTTCAAGGAAGACGTTCCCGGTTTGAAAACGGTTTTGCATTAGCCGCTATCAACATGCTCGAGGAAAAATTAATTAAAATTTATCTGTAATTGAAACTCGTTAAACTTGCACCTAAATTATTATTCAAATATAATTTTCAAAAAATCCATGATCCTAGTATTTAATTTCTCCAAAATTTCTATATTCATTATTTGATCTCGCCAAGAAAATCCTTCATGTGAAATATTTCTGTTGCCAAATATTTATCATCGATATCCATCAAATCTTCATATCTAAGTCAACATAATTATATTTTATAATTCTTTAATATCGCGTGAAGGAAATCGTTATATACTTACATTACATTCAATATTATTATTTGAAAGAACATTTGACGAGAGTGTCGCATGACTTCCAGAGTTATTATATTAAATTGCATACTCCAATAAATAAAAAAACTCCTACACTTTCTACGTTCGTGAAAGTGATTAGCTGTCTCTTTCATTTGTTATTTGTTTTAAATGAAAGGCGAGAGACCCTCGTGCGTGTCGCGTGGATAGATCGTTCACGTTGGGATGTCCAACAACTTGTTGAGCGACCGTAACGTAACCGACACCCTTTAAAATCCATAATCGATCATCCATGCTGAAAGAGTAAATCACGTCAAACGTTGCGGCACGTGAATTCCAGCGACAACAATCACGTGGTACCATATTTCGTCCTCGCCGACTCGCGACATGATATCAAGTTTCTCGGCATCTCGTGTGTCCGATGTCTTTTTACAACAAAAGATTTGTCCTTTTCCACGAGCATCTTTTTAGTTCTGGGATAATTTGACACTAAAATTCCTCGACGTAACAAAATTCTTTTTGGGATTACTGACCTTCTGCGCTCGACAATATTTTCTATTATAAATATTCATCATCTTCTGTCATTCGCAACAGTCGTAAAAACGAATCTTACATGAGTAAAAAATTACGACTATATTATTCCTATACTTCATACGTTAATAACTAATGTAAAATTGAAAATCGAATTTCAAAGTTTATAATTTAGCTCTGTCCAGTCAAATGGTGAGAGTTACCTCCCGAGTGAAAAGGGTTAAAGAGATAACCGATGTTTCTCTGAAAAATTATTCAAGAAATTGATTGTGAAACAGTTAAAGTTTTAATAGATGCACTCTTACAGTTTCTATGTTCTTTTCCCTTCAGATAAATTCTTTCAGAATAATTTACTAAACAGTTCGTAATATAATTTAGTAAATGCTACCGTCACAGTAATGCTCGCTTAAATTTTACAACTTCGAGTCCCACCAGTGGAATTTAACCGAGCAGAAAAGCAAGAGGAAGCTGAGCTTCCAGAAATTGAGTCGAGCACAGCTTGACAAAGGCAGAGAGTCGATAGTGAGTGGAAGCGAGATGGACACAGTCCGTCGAGCATCAGAGGTCAAGCGTCAAATATAAACGTGCAATGAAGAAAATTTCAATTAGAGTGATTTTAACCTTCTCGAATGTAGTGCCAGTGAATTTCTGAGATTGTTATGATTAAAATGAGTCCAAACACGATGGAAATCGGACTAGTTTCACTGACTTCATGTAATTCACGAAATTAAAGGCTCGTTTCCATCAAATCGATGAAACTAGACCGATTGATGGCGTGTTTGGACTCATTTTAATGAGGAGAATCACAGCATTCCATCGGTACAATTGATTTACTAATAATTCAAAATTGGAAACAATTATTTCCTGCACTAGATGATTCGGTGCACATAACAGATACGCAGTGTGAAGTTTTATTAAAATATTTATCTTGTGAAACAACGTGATTCTTCGTGTACTCAGACTTCGTGGTCGTTGCAAACAGCACTTTTGCGTCGCAGCGTAGGGGAATGTTTTTGCCACTGCGACGCAAAAATGATTCACTTTTTAATATGAAGTAGCTGGCGGCACACACCGTCAATATCATATATATGTAAATTCTATCGGTAAATCTTTGTTCCCAAAAACTCATTTGAACTCATCCGTTCAAAGATCCATCTAATTCATCTAAAAGTAAAAATGACTCACACAACTATTTCAAATCATAAATGTACCCTCCAATTACAAAATAAAATTTGCAAATGATCAATTCAACATGTATCATCGCGAAGAAATGTATTACTTCAATCTCGAGCAAAATGAATGATCAAAAGGATAATAATTCTCAAAGAATATACATGGACTTCAAGTATTAAAATAATATTCATATATTATTACTAAAATAACGTTGTCTCGAAATGAATTAAGGTAAAACAACGAATAAATGAAAAGTATAAATTTGACTTAAGCGATAATTTAAATAGACCTTGACCCCAATATGTTCTAATTCAAAGTCACTCTAAGTGCTTCGAGTTGAACGTAAACGGTTTGGTTATCGATTTACCGTTATAAAAACAAATCGAAAACTTCGAAGTATATTCTTAGAGAAAATCGGTTCGACAGCTTGATCCCCGAAGATTCAATATGGCGTAACGTGAACAGGCAACCCCCTTTAATTCGCGCACTTAATGCGACAGTCTGGCACTCGTACAGCTTCGAGCCGCTTCTTCGAAACGTGCGCTCACACTCTCGGCCCGCTATGCACGCAGGAAATCATAAATGTGTTGGTAACCATTCTTTTCATCGTCCGATGCACACGGGCTGAAAAACTCTCCTGTGAACTGGCCCTTAGTACGAACCCTTTCCCAGAATACCGGTTCCCGGCTCACCTTTCCTCTAACCTCAGAATTGCGGAATGATTCGGTTTTTTGTTACAGAACCCCTCGGCACTACGTAACAACTCGTAACTCCGATGCAATCTTCTTTTTCTCGAAACATTTCATTGTGCTCTCGATATCCCCCAATTTTCGCAGCGGGAATTTTTCATGCGCGGACAAATAACACGACAAATTTGTTCTGTCGAGTATTCAGATTTTATTTGAATGGAATGTTCGTTAATGAATAAATCAGTTAATTTAATTTGGTATCTTTTCACTTCGTTTGGAATTTATCAATCTATTGTACATTGAATGTAATAAAAGTATTTATTTGGGTCGAAACATACGTAAACTCTCGACACTAAATGAAATTTATTTATTAACTTATCCTCAAGAAGAATGTTTTTAAAAACAAAACCTTGCTTACGATATTTTGTAATAAACTGCACTCGTTAAAATTTGTCACTAATAATTCTTTAAAAGAAGAAAAGAACTCCATATTCATTGCAGATCTTCGTCTCCTCCAAAACGAAAAACTAGAAAAACAGTAATACTTAAACTTTCACTGATGAAAAGAACCGGATAAGATTTATTTCATCAAGTTCGACAATTCTGTTTCAAATTTCCACCATGCAGCTAACATTTTAATCAGTCGAACCTATGTTGTTTACTACTTGTCAGTCAGAAAGTCGGAAGACAAGGGGAATAATTAAAATTCCAGAGCAGTCTGTCTCTATCGTCGTAACATGAACATCGAAATTACGTAACGGGTAAACAACAACGGAAGCTGGAGGTGGATCACAAAGTTCGGTAAAAATAAACGGTTCTGAGCCCCCATAACGGTCGCGCCGTGCACGCACGTGCACAGACCAAGAATTTCGAGAGGCTCGCGTATCCCGAAAGTTTTGTGGAACGTTACATCAGTTTTTATTGATCCCACGCCGACAACGACGATACGCTGCCCAGCTCAGCCGTTCTAACGGTAATGAAACCTCGACTCACGAGGGCACCCGTGAATGGTAGTCACCTGATATTGATCCCTTTCGCGCGAGGCGCAACAACGAAAATTATTATCGATGCGCGCGCTCGATCATCGATCCACCAATGTTATT